GGATACAAACTTTTTCAGAACACCGGTAGACGGCCACCATTACAAAAGAACATGTGTTTGTTGTTGTTCCAGGAGCGGCTCAGTCACACGCTAATGTCATTAGTTCTTATCATTACTAAGGTGCAGGACTGCTTTTTCCTCCTTTTTTTCACATCATGTCGCCTGCTTGGATCTATTACTATCTCGCTCTGAAGCACAGAGGAGTGTCACAGGTGAGCTCGTTTCAACTGATTTTATGACGCGGTCTCATTTCCAGACTCAGGTATTTTGTGAATGAAGCCGATATTTCAGTTAAAATACACAAGTAAAAATATTTATCCGAGTATAATACTACTCCCCAACTTTATGGATGATTTTATGGATTAAATTTTACATATTATACTTGAATAAATATGGTAACTTTGCTTTAATCTTTCCAGTAAACAATAAATCAGCCTCAGTTTCCTTAAGTTTGGAAGATCTGCGATCAGGCCATACTTACATAAAAGCTGATCTCATCTGCCTCCGCAAAGGTCTGAAAATCAGCTCTGCTGTGAGAGAGGGGCAGCTGTCCAGTTAAAACAAGTTTATATTGTTTCAAGGGTATTGTTCAGTGTTTGATGATAAAATAAGACTGGAACATTGAAGGTGTATTGTGACCTTATAACACCTGACAGTGTTAGTTATTTAAAAAAATCAGAATAGGCAGATCAGGCTTTTCAAGGATCGGTGATCGTCCAGAAAACTGAAACTGGTGCACCCTAATTTATTCTAAAAGAAAGAAAAACTCACAGTATGACTGCAGCGCTTACATATAACACTGAACGTTATGCTGATAAAATCATTGACTATCAGTTTATTTGTCACACGTTTCTACTCAAAAAGCTTCAGACTTTATCATTTGCACAACCAAAACACGCTATTCTCATCTGCTGAATCAAATTGGCACAAGATTGTTTTTCAGTATTAAAGCAGAGGCTTTGGTACTTCCATCTTCCAAAAATCAACTTCATTCCCACCCCTTCTTTACGGAGCTATTCTCTTCAGCTACTGGCAATAGGTGGTGTGTCGATTGTTTTGAAAAACATTCTAACAGGGGAACCCCCACCCTGCCTTCTACCTGTCCTTGCCTTCAGCTACTTGCCCAGACCACTCTACTTATCCCACTTAACATTGTTATATTGTTACATGTCAATAATGGTTCGCAGTGAGAAAGTTCTACATTGTGTTCACACACAACACTTGTGTTTACACATACACCCAACAGGAACCATGGACGGCGGGCGTTCTGATTGGAGGCCATGTGACACACTTTAGGTCCGTGGATCCTCTCTTTTGACTGAGATGTCTGTGTTAACCCACCTCTCTTAATTCATCACGCTATAAAAAAACTTTTAAGTTAATTACTCTGCTCCGAGGACAACAACGCCAATGTGTGTTGACACGAAAACACCCGGGGGTGGGCGAGGCCGAGTGGACTGGGAAGCCCTGGGGGTGCCCGCCGTTCCAGCAGGGAGCATCTCTCCTGATAGTTCTGCAGCACTCAGTGGGCAATGAGCAGAATGGGGCAAAAAACAGAAGCAGGGGTAAAGAAAATACTGTTGTAGACAAGTAAAAACACTGCTGGGGTTCAGTGTTTATGGAGCGCTGCTCATCTCCCTGAACTCCCTGATGGGAAATGAGAATGCCTCGAAGGAATGAATTAATAGCCTTTTAATAAGGATGAGGCCTGAAAGGACAGAAAATAAATTCCTCATTAATAAAATCTGTTTTTTTATTAAATGACCTTGTTCTTTGTGGGCCACTTGCCCTTGAATAAAAGCATTTCCCTTCAATGAAATGAAATCGAAAGTCACGAACAAAGTGCGTCAGAAAATATTAAGTGCAAAATAATTCTGACTCCGATTTGATGGGTTTTGTGCATCGGACTAAAAAAATGAGGACATGATTAAWAAGATTGCAGGTGTATTTTACACATGAGTGAGTCCTTGTGGATCAAAGTGAGCAGAGGCAGGCAGACATGTTTCATCTGGTGATTAGAGTGGGCCTTTCATGTGCTTTTACTGTCCTCATCTATACAACAAAGTTTAACCTCCATAAAGAAACTGTGTGTTTTGCAGTGACTCACCCAGATCTCCTTGAACACTGTTATCGTGAGAGGTCCTGCTGGATGTGGTGGAGTCCCCGTCGCTGGGCCACATCTGGCCCCTTTTGCGGACGCCGGCGATGGAGGTCACGCCCTGCTGCTTCAGACACTTGTGCGACAGCGGTGTGGGTGGGCTCCCGCTGTCGAAGGAGTGCTGGGAGGGCGAGCGGCTCTTGTCCCTGAACATGGGGTAGGTGGTGGGGCTGGGGGACACCTGGCTGGACTGGCCCGAGGAGAAGTCCTCCTCGCTGGATGTCAGGTTCTCGTTGGAGCTGCAGTCCGGGGTGTAGCCTTCGCCCACGTCGTCGAAGCTCCCAGGAGAATAGGAGCGCCTGGGCCAGGTGAGGTGAGCGTCCTCCTCTATGCTGTGGTCCCTTATGTGGATGACTCGAGTGTCCCCGTCCGCCATCATTCCTCCAACGTACACACTGGTGTAAGGCTGACACTCRGCTGGCTGCCGGTCGCACTTCCCACTACTAGACCTGAGCCCACCGTCTCTCTGGAAGTGTGAGCTAACCTCGGGGTCATCAGGCGACCCGTTGTAGCCGCAGTTCCCCTCGGTGGACCGGCCTCTCTGAAGGGCCTTGCTGATGTCGCCCGTGGCAGCGGACAGGTTCCCTGGCAGAGAGTGCAGGGACCTCTTTCGCTCCATCTGCATGGCCTGACAGCCCAGGGTGCTGATCTTGTCCGAGACCTCCCTGTCGTTGACTCGGACCAACCCTCGTTCGTGGTGGTACTCCAGGTTTACATAGCAGGGTTTCTCCTGACCCCCCATCACAGARAACCCTCGGTCGCTGGCCGTGTGAGAGTTGGCCCTCCTGATGCGCTCAAAGTTGGACCTCAGAGCTGCCACAGAGCCTGGYCCCACTGGGAAGTCAGGAGACTCGGGTTCTCTGTGGACAGGGGACACCCCTCCTTTCTGTTTTGAACCGTCCACCTCTTCGTCAGGACATCTCCTGGGCGTCTTGCCGGACCCCCTCTCTTCTGTCGGTGCCTCGTCAGGGTAGGACCTCAGTTTTTCCGAGTTACTGGGCAGTTCTTGGTCGTTTGTCTGATTTTTGAATCCCCATCGCTGACCATCGTAAGATTTCCTCTCCTTTGCAAGCAAAGTCTGCAAGTAGATCATTCGAAAGCGCTCCTTGTTGACCTCTTTCTCCAAGTGCCTGATGGATGACTTGCATTTATCCAGCTCCTGTTCAATGTCCCCTAACGAGTTCAGCTCCATTTCAGGAGGCTCCGACTCAGGAAACTGGGCTCTCCACGCATCCAAAAACCCCAGTGGTTCAACCATGGTTAGCAGACGTACACACTTCAATCAGCCAACAAAGTAAACATACTGAATCCTACTGAACTAAGAAGTTTATAACTCACAGCTTCCATAGTGCAACAGCACATAACTTCACGTGTGTCCTCTGGGGATGTGACATTACTCACAGGATCTCAGAGGGACACGTTAGGTCCGATCACTACACCGCTTTAAAGAAAATCATAGAAATGTCAGGTCGTCCTTGCTTTCTTCCCCACTCGGTCCTGTTTGCTGGTCGTCTATCCTCTGGAGACCCTCTGTCTCTGTGTTTGGTGTCAAACTGAGCGCAGTTCTCTGGTGTTTGGCTTTCTGTCAGTCGCAGCAGGAGGAGGGGCTACGTGGATGCGACCCGATTTACGCTTTAAATGCAGAAAAATAACAAATTATTGCATATAATGTACTTTTGATATAAACTTGCTTACATTAAAGCAGAAAATAGCAAGTGGACATTCACCAAGAACATGAAGCCGGAACAAAATACATTTTACCAAACATATAATGATGTACGGTCCACACATAATGAAAAGGTTACCTTCTACGTTGTAAAAGAAAAGTGCAGTGGTTGTCCTCCTTCAAAAAAAAATCACAGTCCAGGTCAGGTGGTAACCCAAAAAACAAGAAAAAAATATCGACGCCCCGACTTTTTACACACCAACCCGTTTCGTAAGTTGCTCAAACTCAGCCTCGACTTTTATCTTTTTGAGGGACAAACAAACCTTTTCCTCTCTCCCACCCAGCTCCTAACCCGCACAGCACTTCAGCAGTCTTATGAAAACTCAGGATAATCAAAGTTCATCTGTTTGTGCTGCTGCCTCGTGCACATATCGCCACCTTACGGTTCAATTTACCTGTTTTTTTAACAGTAATAAATGCGCATGCGTAAACTCAGGCAACARGCCCCCAAAGAGGGTCATAGCTACTTCCGGTCAGCGGTCCATTCCGTCGTTTGGGTCCTTTATACTTGCTTTTTTTGTTGACTTTAAATTAGTTATATTAACGTGCAATTGTGCCGAGAGTTYGCTTGGACTGCAGAGCACACATGAAACATTGGTAATTATTAAAACTGTTTAGAATAAGTTTATTTCAACAAACTGGAAATAGGCAAGACCGAATCTACACCACAATGCATCGCAAAATACTAAAAACGTTCAATTAATTAGGTGCTGCGTTCAAGTACAGTCTGAAAAATGTTCACTTGACTTTTGAACCAATGTTTTTAAACGCATTTTGCTTTTCAAAAAAGAAATTCAAGATGTAAGTGCAACCTTCAATGTGTTTTATTTTAAAGGATTGTAAATCCAATTTAAAACCCAGTCGATTTGCTCTTCAAATTCAAGACAATCGGTTAAAGTCTCCAATCTTCAAATGATAGTAAATTATGTTTTACTTCTGTACAAAAACTCAAAAACTTATTTTAACTACATGCAATAACAGGATAAAACTGTTTATTTTGGTCAGTATTAAATAAAAACAGGCACATTTTAATCAAAACGTGATATTTAATTGCCTGTCTCGCTCAAGGGGCTTTAGAAATCCCAGTTTCTTTGAACTCGCCACAGAAACTACTTCCTGTTAGCAACCAATCCGAGGACGCCTAACGGTTTCTAGGGCGCTGATGACAACAACCTGGGATGCGAAACGATCAAATGATTTTTAAAGACTATAAACCTACATTTTTAATGTACTAATTGCTTGTGCTTAGTGAGTCGTTTCTAAATAGCATTGAGAGTTTTACAGGTGTGCAAGCTAGGCTAACTTTCTTGACAAAAAAAATACCTTTCCCATTAGCATTAGCATTGCTGGCTAACAACCTAGCGTTTGTGTGAGCGACATCATATCATAGACGTTTCTGAACTTCCAACATGAGCGAGCAGCTGAAGTTCATCGTTGAACAGCTTAACAAAGAGCCATTCAAGAAAAGTTTCAACCTCATCACGTTTGACTCGCTGGAGCCCGTGCAGCTCCTGCAGGTTTTAAACGATGTCCTGACTGAAATAGACCCAAAGGTGAGCGAAACGGTGCTTGTAATACTTATGAGTTCATGATTTTTGGGGCATTTGTTTCACACCAATAGCCTCTCTTTTTATTATCGTGTTCGTTTTCTCTTGTGTTATCAATTTTAGCAAGCCATAGACATCCGAGAAGAAATGCCTGAACAAACAGTGAAGAGAATCAGCTCTCTGCTGGGGATACTCAAATACAAACCTGGACATCAGTCTGATGTGTAAGTGTGTCACTCAGTCAGCTAATCAAAGAGCCCAGTTTAATTATTGATCTACTTGATCTGTTGTCTTTAAATATTTTTATGCATTGGCCTAAAATATTTAGCATTTAAATGTTGAAATTCATACTTTTTTATTATTCTGTCATGCTTCTCTGCTGTAAAACATTCACATTATAATTACCAGAATCATTTGGTTAATCTATTAAATTATGAAAGTGCACCTGTGTTCATATGATTTTAAAATATTTTTATTAATTTTCCTAATTTTTAGTTACCACTTTTTAATACATTTTTAAAATATCAAACCGTCATTAAATAAATATTTATCAGCTTAGAGTTTAAAATATTGTATAAGCCCTTACTTGGCCAGGGGTTGACATAACTATTGTTTAGGTTGTCCAAGAAAACCTTTTTTTTTTTTTCGGACAACCAGATCCTGTCTCCTGGTTGTCCGATGGACAACCAAGAAAAAAGACCTTTATTAAAGTTCTCTGCCACAAGTGTCCATCATTTGTAAAAAATTAAAGGGAGAAAAAACTTGGTAAAACTGAACAAAACACTAAACTGTAACTTTTAATAAGGTCATGTACATGATATTCCTATTTAAGTGAAAATGTTTGACCTATGACTGAGCAGAAAGAATTTTATGAATATTGGGTAACATCTAGATTTTATTATCAACGGTTTTGCTGCTTTAATCCCTGAGCCTTAAATACTCTGTTTCAAAGAAGAGAATGAGGAAGTTTTATTCACACAGCTCCTGTCAAACTGGCTGAACAATTATATATAATAAACTTGGTCTACAGAACAATATTCTTGTTGAATTACATTTTTCTTGATATTCTTTTGGATAACCAAAATGTTTTGCGGACAACCAGATTTTGGACAACCTGTTGACTAAACCTGGAACTGAAAAAATATCTTATGTCTACCTCTGCTTGTCTAATCTTTGTCACTGTAAAAATTTATTCTACAGCTGCGTGTCTTTGTCATTGATCTGCCAGCCTTTCTGCCCATCTCCTGTTGTTAATGGATATTTTTTGTGTGTGATTTGAACATTTTACCTTAAAGTTGTTTTACTCAGAATTCCTTCAGTACAGTTACAAAAATATATTTGCTTTTTACTCACATGGGCCTTAAACCCTACATTTTCATAACTTACAATGTTCCCAAAACAGTGTTATTTTGAACATTTCTGGTCTTGTCCTTTATTCAGATGCTCATATGAAATTACCCACAAGTTTTCCGTTTTCTTGCTCTTTACAGGAGCAGCTTTAGACAGGGTCTGGTGACTGGCAGCAAACCTGTGGTTCACCCTATCCTCCACTGGCTGCTGCAGAGGGTCCCAGAGCTGAAGAAGAGGGCGTACCTGGCCCGTTTTCTGGTGAAGATTGAAGTACCTGCTGAGTTTTTGCAGGACGATGTCACAAACGACACCTATCATCAGGTTTGATCCTAGATTTGACTAAAAAAAATACTCATATTCTAGGTTTTATAAGTAAAAATAACCTGTGTGTTTTACAGTATGAAGAGCTGGTGGAAGGGTTTAAGACGTACCATAAGGAGTGTGAACATCTGAGGACTTCAGGCTTCTCCACTGCAGAAATCAGAAGGGTAAAAAAATAACTCCTGACATGTCAATCACAGATTGTTAGAAATAATAAAGCTTAACTTGCTTTTTCTAAAAAAAAAAAATAAGTTTTTATCTAATGATGACAATAAAACAGCTGTTAAATTCAGTGAAAAGAACATTCTGCCTTTTTTATTTTTAAACCAGGATATCAGCACCATGGAGGAGGAAAAAGACCAACTGATCAAACGTGTGGAGAGGTTGAAGAAGAGGGTAAGGCTGATGATGTGCAGCCAGCAGGCTTTAGGTTTAGTTTTGGAATGAAGACAGACATGTAGCAGTTACACTGTGAGAGCCAGCAGGCATCTAACAGGTTGTAAGAATGTCTTCATAAGACTGCCACATAATAAGGTGTTGATTTGAAGAGACTTACTTATGGCCCCCCGTCAAAAGGTGACATCTGACCCTGTCGGAGGTGCTTGGTTATTCCTGCCAGGCTGTCYGAATATATCACATCATGTCACTTGCTGATCCTCTAGGTGGAGCCGGTGTCCAATCATCCGCAGATGTTGGAGCAGGCCAGACAGCTGCGAGTGGAGAAGGAGAAGGAGGAGTCCCTCGCTCACCAGAAGAAAGAACAGAAGAATCAGGTTTGTCCTTCAGATTACTTTTACTTTATCAACCCTTTTCTTCACATTAATATCTATTTAATATTAAATGTTTAAGCAGTTAAATGAAACTTTCTGCTTAAAATCACACCAAAGCAATGCTTTTAAAGGGATCCCTGATTAGTTGTAACATCAAACTTTATTTGATAAACATTTTAACTGTAAAATAAAGACTGTAAAAATACTGTAGGCTGTTTAGTTTTGTAATTTTTTAAAATATATTCTAACATGGATGGAGCCATTTTATTTACACACAAAGCATTCTGGGTAAATGATGACGTGGATAGGTCCTCGTTGTGAGTGAGCTATATCCACCCTGAAGGTTAATCTTGGACAATATCTGATGATCGACTCTTTTAAATGAAACCAGAGAGCGTTGACAGAGAGGAGAAGGTAGAAATGACTCAGCCTGMAACTGAAAATATGGATGGAGGACAACAGAGCTGCTTCATGGAAGAAGAACCTCAGCTTAGCCTGTTAGCTTTTGTGCTAGTACCGACGCTATTTTGCCTAATYTATATTAGCTCAGCGCTAGTGCGACAAACAAGCTAAACTGAGGTCCTCCATCCATGTTTTCAGTTGCAGGCTGAGTCATTTTTGTGTTCCTCTCTGTCATGTGGATGGAGGACCTCAGTGATGAGAGGAGAATGTGTAGCGCTGAGCTAATACATATATATGGTGATAACGATGCTAACAATTAGAATGAATCTATAGCAGATATGAGTAAAATAGTCAAAACATTTTTATAAATCAGCATAAGTTGTCTAACACATTACAGTGTGAGAGGGCCTTTAGGAGGTTTGGTACCTCCCTCCTGTAATTGTAAAAAAAAATCCTATTTACCATACTGGTATATCATGTGGTACCATCTCAAAAATACAATTTATTTTAAACCAGGACCCTGTTTATTTCTGGTTTTTAAAATTTGAAATGACTTTTTTTAAACGGCTTGTTTTGTTCATGTGATCATTTCTTATGTATATGTTTTTTATTTTATTTATTTATTTATTTATTTATTGGAGGGGGAACACTTGAAATGTCATTTTGTGCAACTAAACAAATGGCATTAGGGAATTTATATTTTTACTAATTTGATTAATTTTTGAAAGCCTTTTTATTTGCCTAATTTTAAGATAAAAAAATATTTGAGCAAATGTCCTCTTGTGTAAATGTGTCACCTGTGTACATTTATTTATTTATAATTTAAGATTTGTATTCACTTTTGTAAAGTGATTTCATCAGGTATTAATGTTGAGCAAAAATAACTTCATAAAGACAGAATAGTCATTTCTTTCCCCACAGTGAATGTGTTAATAAACCTGTATATGTTTGTCCTCTCAGTCCTAAAGGCCTGTCACACTAGACAACTTATGAAATATTTTTATGGCTAAATAGCTAATAAAATTTATATATTGGCTCAATTTGTAGAATTACAAAATGTACACACCCAAAAAAAGCTTCCTGTTGATTTTTTTTTTCAATTCTTTCTTCAATGTAGACGTCTTTAAAATGTTCATAAGTTATCTAGTGTGACACAGCCTTAAGAGAGGACAAATATTTTTAGATATGTTTAAAATTTATCAAAACTTTTTATGATTTGGAGCAAAATTCAAGTGCTCTATAGAAGTTAGGACATATCGGTTTGTTTCTTTAGCACAAATTTTGAAGTTACTTAAATCCTTTTTTAGTTTTTAGTCCTGACAGTGAATGTGAAGGTAGGTCTCAGCCTGTTGTGTCCTGTGAAAAACACTCTGTTAACTTGTCCACACTATAGTTGTTGTTTGATGTGCTTTTATTTTGATAAAATTGAGAAGGATGGAGCTGAATATGAACCTTACAGATTGAAAATTAATCTGTTGAATGAAAGATGAAATTTTATTCTTGCTCAATCTTAATAAAAAAAACATGAATTACAGTATATTGAGTATAACAATATTTTCAAATAAATCAGGTGGTCCTTTCAGTGGGTTGACCTGTTCTTGTTGCTAATGTTGACAGGTTTGTTTAGCATTTGTATCAGAAATGAACAGAAATAAAACGTTAGAAATGAGATTTAGTTTTCTTAAAAACTCAATCCTGACTTTAGAAGTCTCATCATGAAAAAGACGTAATGACAGCGAGGACCAAACCTCTAAATAAATCTACTTATAACATTTCATTCTCTGTAGACCTAAATCCTAACCTGGTGATCTAGAAGAAAAAGGAGTAATTTTGAAGTCAGCGGTGAACTGTGCCTCTCAGTAATTGTCTTTGTGTGTTTAGCTGTTTCAGGCGCAGCAGAGGCTGCTGAGGTCGCAGCAGCAGCTGAAGGACTTGCACCAAGCAGCAGCAGACGCTAACCCAGAGAGTGAGTACCTCTGTTCTGCTGCTGCCTRTGCAGACCACAGCTGGACAGGAAGTTCAGTTCATCACACCTCCTCTCAGCTGATAGGCATTCATACCTTAAGACCCTGTGTTTCTGTTGATCTTTGATGTGCTGTAATGGACATAAACTAGTCTTATTTTGTTCTCATTTAGTTGCTGGCCTTTTAAGCCAGAGAGCTTTACACATTAACACTTTGTGAAATGATCTGTTCATTGCAGGAGGCTGCTCCGTTAAAGGCATCCCTGATTAGTTAAACTTATTAAACTTTATTTGATGAACATTTATTTTAACTGTAAAATAAAGACTGTAAAAATACTGTAGGCTGTTTAGTTTTGTAAATTTTAAAAAATATATTTAAAACGGACAGAGCCATTTTATTTACACACAAAGCATTCTGGGTAAATGATGACGTGGATAGGTCCTCGTTGTGAGTGAGCTATATCCACCCTGAAGGTTAATCTTGGACAATATCTGATGATCGACTCTTTTAAATGAAACCAGAGAGCGTTGACAGAGAGGAGAAGGTAGAAATGACTCAGCCTGTAACTGAAAATATAGATGGAGGACAACAGAGCTGCTTCATGGAAGAAGAACCTCAGCTTAGCTTGTTAGCCTTTGTGCTAGCACCGACACTATTTTTGCCTTATATATATTAGCTCAGCACTAGCGCGACAAACAAGCTAAACTGAGGTCCTCAAAGTTCAAAGGCTCAAAGTTTTGTAATGCAAAGCTCTCATGTTTCTCAGGTTTAATGAAGAGGCTCGAGGAGAAGGTCAAGATCAACCAATACATGGTGTCAGAGAAACTTCCCAAAGAGCTGGAGGGCCTGAGGCGCACGGTGCAGTACCTTCAGAAAGTCTCCTCAGAGCCTGCCATGGGCCAGGCTGAGGTCCAGGAGCTGGAGGACAAGGTCCAGACCAGGAGGCGGTGCTGGGTCTTACAGCCATGTGGGCTGCAGGGTTCCAGTGTGTTCCTTTCTGAACATTTTTTCACATGTTCTCCCACAGATTAGAGAAYCTGACTCTCAGATTAACCAGCTGATTGAGAAGAGGATGATGAGGAATGACCCCATAGATGACAAAGTGACCTCTTACAGGCAGCAGGTGCTGACTGATGACATTTTCTTGAAGTTTCTCTTTTTGTTGTTGTTTATCTTGTCTTGTGTGAACTGGGCTTTAGGAATGCAGACTACAAAGCCAAGTGGGATTAAATATTCCCTCTRGACATTATTTATTTGTGTAAAGAACATTTTTGTTTTTCTTAAAACCATTCACTGGGAAACTCTAAACTGTTCATAAATAAGTGAATATGTTCCTTATTTCATCTTGTTACAGCTGTGCTAACAACATAGTTGATAAAGCTCATTTTTAGTTCTTTGTCATGTTTTGAAGTTTCAGCCTGATTTTAATGGCATCCAGTGACACGATGGGTCAGTCAGGACAAACACCTCTGTCATGTTTGTGTGCCTTGCAGGCTTCTATCATCTTCCGAAAGAAGGAGTCGAAAGCGGAGGAGCTTCAGGAGGCGAGGGAGAAGCTGGCTGCTGCAGAGAGGGAGCTGAAGCAGAGGAGCAGCCAGTCACAAGGCTCGTACGGAGAAGAAGTCGTCCGTGGAGACGAGGTGCGCTGTCCTGTCGGTCGTCACTGTCACAGAGCGCTGCAATCACTAAATGCTCTTTATCTGAGAACATCACCACATCTGAGTGTAGCTCTTTAGCTGATTATCTTAACATGTAACTGTTACTGAAAGAAAACAGAAATAAGATTTTTCACGTTTATCCCTTTTATGTTGAAGTTAACGGCTAAAATCACAGACAAACTTCCACATATTCAAGTGCACTAAGCAAGATTAGTAAACCACTGAAAACTGAAGAGGCTATTTCTGTTCTTATCCAAACACAGACAGGCTCACTGCGTAATGTTACTGATCCCTTTCCCCCACTCCCCCACATTCCCATGTAAGCCAGAAATAGATCATAAAAGAGAGAATACCCAGAACAGAGAACTGTACAGGACAAACTTCCTGAAAGATGGCATTTCTTTTTTGAATCTTTACTTTTGTAAATCTTGTAATCCWAGTCAGCTGGACTTACTAAGCAGACCTGGAGTTCAGGAACATTTGTCTTTATTTATAACTTGTGATGACAACACCCCCCCACCCCACCAC